CCCCCCCCCCGGCGCAGGGCGTGACGCGGCTGCTGCTGACGCGGATCCCCTTCTTCAAGGAGGTCATCGTCAGCTCCTTCGCCTGCGGCAGCTGCGGCTGGGCCGACGCCGAGATCCAGTCGGCCGGCCGCATCCAGGACCTCGGCGTGCGCTACACGCTGGACGTCCGCACCAAGCAGGTGGGTCCGCCCGGGCCGGGAGGCGGGGCTGTGGGGACCGGCCCTGCGGCGGCGACGCTTCGGGAGCCCGTTTGTCCGGTCCCACGGATGGAAACGGCATTCCCGGGCCTGGCACGGGGGGGGGGGCACCCACTCCCTCGCCTGCTCTGCAAAGCTGGGTGGGGGAAGCCTTTGCGAGAAGCCAGCTGCAGGGGTCTGGATGGGTGCCCGGTCACCATGGAGGCCCCGGAGAAGTGTAAGGGTGCCAGCACTCTGTCACGCAGGCACCGGGCCTTTTGGGCCACTGCGTGACACAGAAGAGTGCTGGACTGGAGGGGCCACTGGCCGGAGCCACCACTGGCCTCTCTTAGGTTCTGATGCCTGCACAAATGCCCCTCTTGTCCCAGGCTGAGCCTGTTGAGACGAAGGAGGCTTTCAAAGGTGCCTCAGCATGACTCGCCTAATGGAGGGTGTCTTGTGGAGGCACGAAGCTGCCTGGTCGCACCTTTCAGGGCAGTAGTGACCTTGGCAGGGTCCTGAGGTCTACGTTTCAAAAACCTGGGGCCAGACTGCCCATGACTAAGATGGTGGCTGGTTTGTCAATGTTTTTCTTCATGAGCTAGAAAGGAAGGCTGTTGGTGAGGATGTCGTTGAAGCCCGCACTATTTGTTTTTAAATGTCTTGACTGCCTTTCTCTGCAACCAGGGAAGGTTCAGAGCCGCTTATGTGCACCAAATCATTTTCACCACAGCAAACATTTACACCACAAAAACCAGCTCTTAAGATTTCATAGTATAGGGCCAGAGTGACATATCACAACAAAACTTCAGCGGCTGTTCTACCTGCTGTGTGATCCGTGCCACCCACCTCTGATTCCACCCTCAAATTAGGCTTGTGTTACCCCTTTTCTGATTTTTCTCTGGGTGCTGCTGTCATGCACTAACTCAGTTTGGGAATACATTTCCAGACAGGCAGGCAGCCACTAGTGCTGGTCCTGAGTTTGTGCCGCTTCAGCTGGTGGGAAGGGTTCTGCTGTGTCCCTCTCTGCTCATGTTCCTCTCAGCCTGTGTCCATACCCGCTCAGGTGGGCTGCTGCAGGGTTCCCAGGTTGGTGTAATCTCTCCTTGAATCATTCTCTCCAGGATTTGAATAGGGAAGTGGTGAAGACTGACTCTGCCACAGCTAGAATCCCAGAGCTAGAATTTGAAATCCCAGCTTTTTCTCAGAAGGGAGGTGGGTATATATATATGGTCATTCTGGTATGTCTTGGGGCAGTTGGCAGGGGGAGGACATGAGCAAGAGTGGCAGCAGCTAGCAAGTCCTTGATGCTAAGACTGTGTGTTACGGAGAAGGTGCTGCTCCTTCGGGTTATGCAGGGAGCTTTTTTTGCAACAGATGCCCTGACTTGAACATTAGTGTTTACGGGGGGGGGGGGGGGCAGAAGGCATGGGTCCACCAATTGGCCTGTGGGATCCCGACACCTGATAAATCTCTCTTTGCCTGTTAAGAAGTCTGTGCTTGTTGCTCTCTCCTGGTCACATGTTGGTTGCTTGCAAAAACAGTAGTGGTTGCTTGAAACCTGGGCGCTGAATTAAGTTGTGGGGGATGTCAGCTGTACCCCACCCCCCAGGCACATGCTGCCTGCATCAGAGTTCTAGTTGCAGGGTTTCCTTGGGGCTGGTGCTACCTTGCTGCAGTAGTGAGAGGCATGAAGCCAGGGGCCATTAGAGGTGAAAAAGGAAGCTGAAGAGCAGGGCTTATGGCTGTCCATTGACTGGTCAGCTGAGCTAACTCTAGTTTGGGAGAGCCAGCAAATGAACTGCCTGTGCCAATGAAGAGGAGCCCAGTTGCTGCTCTGGAGAGTGGAAGGGAATAATAAACATATGGCTTTTTCCCTGTCACTAGCACTTACAACCATCGAAGGGATAATTGACAGAGCCGTAGCGGGATTGGAGCAAGATCAGCCAGTCCGCAAGGTAAGTTGCTTGCAAAGGATCCATGTGAGCAATATCTGGGTGATATTTATTTCAGTATCTGTAGAATACTTTTCTTCCCTGTGGGAACCCAAAGCCGCTTACAACATTATTCTGCTCTCCTGCACTTTGTCCTGACAACAGCCCTGTGAGGTAGGTTGTGCTGAGAGAGAGCGATTGGCCCAAGCTTCCCCCACCGAGCTTCCACAGCAGGATGGAGATTTGAAACTGGGCCTTCCAGATTGGACACCCGAACCACCACACCGTGCTAGTTCTCTGAGACAACACACTATGTGTGAATAAACCAGCACAAAACAAATGGTTCTAACATCTTGGGCTGGTTGTGATCTCATTGGCTGGCTCACTTGAAGTCATGGGCTCAGAGTGAAAGGACCGAGAGCCCTTGGCCCGTGCCCTCTGTGTGCCCCTCTAGTCATGCCCAGGTTTTATAGGGTACCTGAAACAGGAAGGGAAAAGCCAGTCCGCAGCAAAGACGTTCCTCCCACTCTTTCTCTGCCTGCTGCTTTGTGGTAGTGGGGAGTCGGCTGGAGGGGTAAGATGTGTGAGTGGCCATGCTGGCTACTGATGGGTATCTTGCTCATTGAACTGGCTGAGACTGAAGTTGAGTTCTTGGGGTTGTAGTGGAAAGCTTAATGAAAACACTGACCCAATGTGCGGCAGCAGTCCTAAGCATTATTACTGAAGGTACTAAAAACAAACCGATATTGTATTTAATGATGTGGTGTACTGTATGCAGTTCTGGTTGCCAGAGAAGCCGGTGTGATGTAGTAGTTAAGAGTGGTGGTCTGTAATCTGGAGAACTGGGTGTGCTGCTCCATGTGAAGCCTGCTGGGTGACCTTGGGCCAGTCACAGTTTTCTCAGAACTCTCTCAGTCCCACCTGGCTCACAAGGTGACCGTTTGGGGGAAAGGAAGGGAAGGTGATTGTAAGCTGCTTTGAGACTCCTTGGGGTAGAAAAAAGTAGGGCATAAAAACCAGAGCTGAAAAAAGTACTAAGAAAGGCAACCAAGACGAATAGGGGGTTCCTATGATGAAAGGCTGGAGATCCTGGGACTTGAATCTAGAAAAAAGATGGTTAAGAGGAGACATGATAGAAGTTATAAAATTATGCATGGGGCGGAGAATGTGGCTAGAGGGAGCCTATTCCCCCTCTCTTATAATACTAAAATTCAGGGTCGGTCAATGAAGTTGAGGTTTAGGACACACAAAAAGAAACACTTACTCAATGAGTAAATATGCAGATGGCACAGAAACATTAGTAGAAGAATTGCTGTGGGAAGCACAGATCATCTACCTGGGGTTCAACAGTCACCTCTTGGGAAACAAACATTGAACAGTGTCTGGAAGAACTGGAAGACAATGCACAGGTTTGGGTGCATTTTGAATGGAAGGCTGATTCTGCATATTAGAAACTGTCTAAAAATATAGTTCATAGTCCTAGAGGTTCAGTAAATCAGCACCTAAATGCCCGGCTGGTTCTTGCAAAAATATATAGCAAGTTAAGGCTATAAAAGGAAAGACGTTAGGCTGAGTGAGGCCAGCTTTCCTTTAGCGCACAGCAGTTGAAGTTACCGGAGTGAAGCCTGGAACATCTGCCTTTTCATTTCAGGAAACTGACCCAGGTGTGGCAGGACAGATAGATGCATTCATCTCGAGATTGAAGCATCTGAAAGAAGTGGAGAAAGGCTTCACTTTCGTAAGTCCCTGAAGGCTGGTATTGCTCATGGGGTCAGTTCTCTGTATGAACTCCCCCCCCACCCCCCGGTGACTTTCAGCAGCAAAATAAGGATTTCAGCTGCTTCCCTTCCCCTCCCTTTCTGCCAGGTCCTAGATGACCCTTCAGGGAACAGCTTCGTGGAGAACCCTCATGCTCCGCGGAGGGATGAAGCCCTGGTGGTTGCCCATTATAAGCGATCTGCCCAGCAGGCTGTGATGCTGGGGATTCAAGTAAGCCAAAGGAGGAGCTGCTTGGGCTTGGAGGCTGGATGAAGGCCCTCATGCCACTTTGGCTCACCTCATGCTTCCACATCTTTTGTGGCCCTAAATCGTGGAGAGCCTGTCCTGCTGCTCTCCTACCTGCTTGAAGCCCTGCTTTCTCTTCCCTTTTCTAACCTGCATGCAGAGGATGTGATGCTCTGAATGTCTGAGGCTGTCCCAGTTTCAGCACGGTCCCGTTTCTTTTCCAGGAAGTGGAGTCTGATGATAAGTCAGTGGAACCAGCAGATGATCTGAGGAACGAGGTGAGTGAAGTGTCGGAGAGCTGGGTGTTTGGGCAGAGGAGTGCCTTTGGGCAGGGCCGTTCCCCCGAGGCAGAATCCAGCCGTGGGCCTGGCTGGCAAGTCTGGGCCTCATTCAGATGCCTTGGTGCTGCCTCTCTGTCAATCCAGGTGCTGCAGTTTAACACCAACTGCCCAGAATGCAATGCTCCTGCCGAGACCAACATGAAGCTGGTGCGTATCCTTTTCAAGTGCAGGCGAGCACCTGGTTCTGGCTGCACACATGCGACTGTGGTCCATGAGGCACCTGCGTGGTGATGGGTCGTTCTTCTGGGTGGCCTGTCTGTTGCTGCTTTGTGGTGATATGGGTCCAGTTCTGGGACTGAAGGGATCCCAGGCTGACGATGCTGGAATCTAGCAGAAAGTTCCCGTTGTGTAACTGGCAGTGGGGGGTGGGGTGGGCCGATCTGCCTGGAGGAGGATGGCAGCGTGAGCTTGACCACTTGGGTCCGTGTGCAGCATTCCTTGACTGCCCATTTGCAGAGGTCCCCCACTTCAAGGAGGTCGTCATCATGGCCACAAACTGCGAGGCGTGCGGCCACCGCACGAATGAGGTGAGGCTTTTCTGTCTGGAAGAGGCTGGTTCACCTCCACTTGCCAGGGAGGGTAAGCCCTGCCTAGCCATTCACTGTGTTCTTCCCTACTTACGTGTAGGTTAAATCTGGAGGAGCCATAGAGCCTTTGGGAACCAAGATAACCCTCCACGTGACAGACCCCTCGGACATGACTCGGGACCTCCTTAAGGTAGGGCCTCCCCCCCCCTCCCGGTATGTCCGCTCCCTCTTGGAAGAGCCCTGGAGGATGAGGGGCCCAGCTAAGCATCCTTCCTTTTCCACAGTCCGAAACCTGCAGGGTGGAGATCCCAGAGCTGGAATTTGAGATGGGCATGGGGGCCCTGGGTGGCAAATTCACGACCCTGGAAGGATTACTGAAGGATATCCAGACCCTGGTGAGTGACTGGCTCTGGGTCAGCTGCTGCTGGAGGGGGACGGGGTGTGTGTGTCGCAAGGCTGGACCTGCCACTTGGCGAAAGGGAAACCGTCCCTGAATGAGACTCAAAACGCTCTGTGCCTTGGGGAAGGGGGACTGCCCCTGAGCAGTCGGCTCATGCGGAGTCCTCTCTCTGCAGGTGGAGAAGAACCCCTTCACCCTGGGGGACAGTTGCACCCCTGGCAGGGCAGAGAAACTCAGTGCATTCAGCCGGAAGCTGCAGCAGGTGAGGCCCTAGGGGGCTGTGACTTTCAAATGTGGCATGTGCTGTATTCACTTGGAGTGATGCTCTTCCTGGCCCTGGCCACACTCTGATTTGCTGGCTGGGAAGAGAGTGTCTCTGCTGTGTACACGCAGCTTTGCTTTTCTCTTTTTTCTCCTCCTCCAGATTTTGGATGGGCAGCTGCGGGTACATTTTGTTATGGATGACCCTGCAGGGAACAGTTACCTTCAGGTAAAGTGTGACTGCAGGAAGTGTGCGTGAGATTAAGTTTTATAGCGTGTTGTGCATCAAAGAGCAGGTGTTCTAAAACCTTGGCCAGCGCAGGGGCAGCCAGAAGACAGCCCAGAGCAGTGTATGTTCCAAAGGGGCAGAAGCAACTGGGCCAAGGTGACTTTCCTTATGCAGCTTGCTTGGGCTGTGGCTTAGGTAGGAAGGTGGATGAAGCGGAATAGAACAAATGGTTAAGAGAGGGGGTGGAGATGGCTGCACTGGAGTGAACTCTGGGAGGTCCATTCAAATGCCCACCCGTGTGTCAGGCTCAATAGAGCTGTTGCAGTCCACAATTCATAAGTATAGGTTGCTTCATTACAAGTCACTACTGATGCTCTCACATAGCCGTTGTCAGGCATGAAACTCAAAACCAAGCAGGGACAGATATAGACAGTTCAAACACACAGGATTGACCATTGAATACAGTTTGTGCTCAGCAGGAATTCGAGTGGGAGAACAAGGCGGGAGATAGCGTCCAGCCGTTTGAGTCACACCAGCCAGATTGGGAACGGCTCCAGCAGTCATTCTCACAGCCTTATCAACTACAAAGGCAGCGCCACCTTCCAAAGCCAAAACAAACGGCACCGTGGCACTGAGAGGAAATGAACAGAGAAGTGCAGGCTAGGCCCCCCCCCCCCAATCATATAGCAGTCAGGTTACACAGAACATACCCAGAGTGCAAATGGCAGTTTACTGACACCATGACACTGGTTGATCACCTCGGAGGCCAGAAAAACGACTAGGGAGAGGCTGGGGAGAAGCGCACAATCCTCCAGCCTGGGTGCTGGTGCTGAGGATGGGGAGGGATTTCTTTAGGGCTGTGTGCTGGGCTCAGCACCAGATTAGCGATTAAGGCATGCCGGTCCTAGTCTTCAGCCCATATCCCAGACTCTGTAAATATCTGGATATTGATCAGTAACTCTGATCAATATGACATAGCTCTAAGTCCGATGACCTTTGAACATCCGTAGTGCCTGTGGAGGTAGCTTGTTAATCATTGTTCCAATGTAATCCTTAAAACAAATCCCCCGGAAAGTGATTGTTCTCCTCTGGTTTTCTGAATGTGAACTCTCAACCCCAGCTATGTGAACTCTGAACCCCAGCGCACGGATGGTGGGGAGGGGGGAAGCAGAATGGGGATAAATAAACTGCTGCTGCCTTGAGAGGCAGACTGATTTCTCTACCCTCAAGAGAGTTGTCTCGCATGAATCTTCACATGCCCTTCTCCCCCCCCCCTCAAAGTGGCACAAAAATCTAAGTATGTTCTTGTTTTTGACTTAATTTTCAGGGTGGGGAGGCAGGGGTCTATGGGAACCTCTCTCCGTCCTGGCTTTTGCCCCAGACCCTGCTGTAACTTAGCCTTCTGTTCCTTTCAGAATGTATATGCCCCTGAGGAAGACCCAGAACTGTGTGTGGAGCACTATGAGCGCAGCTTTGAGCAGAATGAGGAGCTGGGCCTCAACGACATGAAGACAGAGGACTACGAGACAGAGAAGGCCTCCTCTGAGCAGTAGCCTTGCTTCTGTCAGGCCAAGCCAGTGGTGGGGGATGAGAAGCAGTGAAGGAGACGGGGGTTGCCTGTCCCCCAACTCGGGACACAGCCTTAGCTCTGCCTAAGAAGCAACTTGTAACTGGTTGCCCACATAGCAGCTGTAGCAGAGCGTGGCCAACGCATTAAAGCTGAAATGATGCTGCACTTGAGGCTGTAAGGATGACATTTGTTTTGCATACAGAAACATAAGCGGTGTTCTGAGGAAATGTTTCTTTTTCCCATGTGGTTCTTTTGCAATGGAAGCGCATTCAGTGCTTGGTTTGGTACTGGATGCTGGTCAGTGCAGGGGCTGACACTTCTGTGGCTGGCTGCAGAATGACAGTTTTAGTCACCTCCCCATATGTTGTCATTTCCATCTGTTTTCATGAAAATAATAAAACACGTTCTCCTAGTTCACAGAAATCTTGAAGCTACGAAAAAGCCCGTGTGTTTCCATTTTGTTAGGGGAAAATGAAATTTTGGAGAAAAGTGAAATGTCTATAGAGTACTTACCTATCAAACTTAAACTTGTACTGATTGGCCAACATAAAAAGTTTCATTTATAACTTGACATACAGAATTGTACTGTGACATTTTTACAGTGTTTACATTTCTATATCTTAGTTTTCTGTAACCGTACCACATGTATCTTAATTTTTGCCAGGAAAAGGTGAAGGCACAAAAATTCTGTAATGCAAAGAAAGTCTATTATAACAGAAACACTCATAGTCACCATAGATAGGCTTACCAGTAATATTTGAATATAAAACCTCATAGAACTTAAGATCACCGAACACTTCAATAATGTGTACTGATTAGATTCATGTCCAGTCGTACCTTAGTGATAAACAGGAGTTTCTGAATATCTTCTTGGTCTTTAAGGTGCTCCTGGACCCAAATCTTGCACAGCAACACAGCTGCTCTCCGAAGCATAAGAACATAACAGAGAAGCCAAAGTTGGATCAGGTCAATGGCCCATATAGTCCAACTCTGTGTCACACAGTGGCCAAAAATACCAGGTGCCACCAGGCAGTCCAGCAGTGGGGCCAGGATATTAAAAGCCCTCCCACTGTCCCCCCCCCCCAGGATCAAGAATACAGAGCATCCCTTGCCCCAGCCTGAAAGTTCCTATTTATTTTGTTGTTGTTCAGTCGCACAGTCGAGTCTGACTCTTTGCGACCCCATGGACAAGATCCCACCAGGCCCTCCTGTCTTCTGCCGTCCTCTGAAGTTTGCTCAGTTTCATGTTCATTGCATCTATGACACTGTCTAACCATCTCATCCTTTGCCGTCCCCGTCGTCTTTGACCTTCAATCTTTCCCAGCATCAGGGTCTTCTCCTCCAGGGAGTGCTCCCTTAGTCATTGGGTGGCCAAAGTCCTTGAGCTTCAGTTTCATTATCTGGCCTTCCAGGGAACAGTCAGGGTTGATTTCTTTTAGGATTGACTGATTTGATCTTCTTGCAGTCCAAGGGACTCTCAAGAGTTCTCCAGCACCATAGTTCAAAAGAATCTATTCTTCGGCGCTCGGCCTTCCTTATAGTCCAACTCTCGCAGCCATACATGACTACTGGGAATACCATTGCTTTGACCATGCGGACTTTTGTTGGCAGGGTGATGTCTCTACTTTTTATCATGCTGTTTAGGTTCACAATCGCTTTCCTCCCAAGGAGCAGGCGTCTTTTAATTTCATGACTACTGTCACAGTCTGCAGTGATCTGGGATCCCAGGAACGTGAAGTCTGTCACTACTTCCACAGCTTCCCCTTCTATTTGCCAAGGAGTGATGGGGCCGGATGCCATGATCTTAGTTTTTTTGATGTTGAGCTTCAAGCCCACTTTTGCGCTCTCCTCTTTTACCCTGAGCAAGAGGCTCTTAAGGTCCTCTTCACTTTCTGCCATTAGAGTGGTATCGTCTGCATATCTGAGGTTGTTGATCTTTTCCCCAGCAATCTTAATTCCCGCTTGTGATTCATCCAGGCCAGCATTTCGCATGATGTACTCTGCATATATATTAAATAAGCAAGGCGACAATATACATCCTTGTCGTACTCCTTTTCCTATGCTGAACCAATCAGTTGTTCCATATCCGGTTCTAACTGTCGCTTCTTGGCCCTTATACAGGTTTCTCAAGAGACATGTGAGGTGGTCTGGTACTCCCATCTCTTTAAGGACCTGCCATAGTTTGTTGTGATCCACACAGTCAAAAGCTTTAGCATAGTCAATGAAGCAGAAGTAGATATTTTTCTGGTACTCTCTTGCTTTCTCCATAATCCAGCGAATGTTGGCAATTTGATCTCTAGTTCCTCTACCTCTTCGAAACCCAGCTTGTACTTCTGGTAGTTCTCTATCCACGTACTGTTGAAGCCTAGCTTGTAGGATCTTGAGCATGACCTTGCTAGCGTGTGATATGAGTGCAATTGTGCGATAGTTTGAACATTCCTTGGCATTGCCCTTCTTTGGGATTGGAATGTATACTGATCTTTTCCAATCCTGTGGCCACTGTTGCGTTTTCCAAATTTGCTGGCAAATGGAGTGCAGAACTTTAACAGCATCATCTTCTAAGACTTTGAATAGCTCAGCTGGAATACCATCACCTCCACTAGCTTTGTTGTTAGTAATGCTTTCTAAGGCCCATTTAACTTCACATTCCAGGATGTCTGGCTCGAGGTCAGTGATTATACCGTCGTGGTTGTCAAGGACATCGAGGTCTTTCTTGTATAGTTCTTCTGTGTATTCTTGCCATCTTTTCCTAATCTCTTCTGCTTCTGTTAGGTCCCTACCGTTTTTGTCCTTTATCATGGCCAGCTTTGCATGGAACGCTCCCTTGATTTCTCCAACTTTCTTGAAGCCTGCCAGCCAGCCAGCCCGCCCGCCCGCCGAATTTTTTTTCAAACTTTTTGCATTTTTGTGCACACGTGGGGACTGGCCCACGTGTGCACAAACCTCCCCCTCCCCCCCACCTGCCCCCTCCGTGCTGATTTAGCGATCCGCACGGAGGGGGCAAGTTGGCTATTAGATATATAGATAAGCAAGGTGACAATATACATCCTTGTCGTACTCCTTTTCCTATGCTAAACCAATCAGTTGTTCCATAGCCGGTTCTAACTGTCGCTTCTTGACCCTTATACAGGTTTCTCAGGAGACATGTGAGGTGGTCTGGTACTCCCATCTCTTTCAGGACTTGCCATAGTTTGTTGTGATCCACACAGTCAAAGGCTTTAGTGTGGTCAATGAAACAGAAGTAGATGTTTATCTGGTACTCTTGCTTTCTCCATAATCCAGCGAATGTTGGCAATTTGATCTCTAGTTCCTCTACCTCTTAGAAACCCAGCTTGTACTTCTGGCAGTTCTCTATCCACGTACTGTTGAAGCCTAGCTTGTAGGATCTTGAGCATGACCTTGCTAGCATGTGATATGAGTGCAACTGTGCGATAGTTTGAACATTCCTTGGCATTGCTTATCCAATTCCCTCTTGAATCCCTCTATGCTTGTAGTAGCCGCCACCACCTCCTGTGGCAGTGAGTTCCATGTGTTGGATCACATGCAAATTAATGGTTGCCAACATTTATGTTTACATAACCATTCTTCAAAATGTTATACAGATTTATCTTGCATAAAAACAGGCGTACTAATTATTTTGAGTAGAACCTTGTCTATAAATTCAATCACTACAAAAGGACAAACAAAGTCCCCCGTCCCCCCTTTCATTGCTCCTCCACATCTGACCCCTGGCAACCCTGAGCAAGGCCTCAGACGTGTTGTAAAAAGTCCAGCTGGGGGAACAGACGGAGAAGAACATTCCCTCCCCCGGGGGGGGGGTCCTTGGCGCGGGGGCAGGCGGCTGACAGCCCCCTAACCTGCCTCTCGCACGCGGCGTTCCCGGCCGGTCGAAGGCCCAGGAAGGGTGGCGGAGCCCGGACCTCGAATCCGCGCTGTGCGGAGGCGGCCGGCATTCCCGCAGGCCTTCTCCTCCTCCAACCACCGAGGTCTGAGGCGCTTCCGCTACCGGAAGCCGCCCGGCCCGGAAGCTGCGCAGCGCCACTTCCGCTTCCGGTCGCCCGCCCGGCGAAGATGGCGGCGGCGGCTTCGGGCCTGTCCAAGGCCGAGTACCTGAGGCGGCGCTACCTGGAGCCGGGGGAGGCCGAGGCCGATTCGGGGGCCAAGAAGCGGCGCCGGAGGAAGCGGCCCAAGGAGCTGCCGGGGGGGTGAGCCGGGGGGGGGGAGAGGGAGCCCGGCCGGCCTGCCGGCCTGGAGCGTTTCCGGGCGGGCGGGCGGCGACAGGGCGCGTCGTCTCCAGTCTGCTGGCGGCCCTGCCTGAGGAGCCCCCCCCCCCGACCGCGGGAGAACCTGCCCCCCGCTCTGCAGAGGGTTCCCAACCTCCCGGTGGTGCCTGGGGGTTCTCTCTGGCTGTACAGCCGAGCGATCGCCGGACTTTGGAGGGTCGTTCCCCTGACCGCCTGGGCGGGGATGGCCACGTATCCATGCCGGACTCCTCCCCCGGCATCACCTCCCGCTCACCTGCGCTTTTGAAGACCAGAGTTGTACTCCCTCGTTTAGTCGGGTGGGTGACGGGCAATGCTCCCCCTGAGCCGTGGAGTCCTGTGGGCAAAAATCCCACTTTGTGAGCTACTGACGTGAAAGTTGTGAGCCGGCGATTTGGCTACCTGCATAAGTTAGTTTGCCCCGGAGAGCCATCCTCCCTGAGCGAAGGCAAAAATCTGTGAGCTGGAGGCTAAAAAACTCTGAGCTGGCTCACACTGACTCAGCTGAGAGGGAACACTGGTGAAGGGCTACCAGGTTAGGCTGTTTCAGGAGCACCGGGTTCAACCTGGACTCCAGAGCTGCCTGCAGAAGGCCCTGTGCTGGCTCCGGCTGCCCCCATGGCAGGAACGCCGGAGTGACTGAGAGGAGTCTCCATGTACAGAGGACAGCAAACGTCTGGCTCCCAGGGGTGGGAAGAGGTATCGGGGGAGGGCCTTGTCCTCAGTGTCCTGCTTGTTGGCCTTCCAGCACTGCTGTGCAAAACAGGATGCTGGGCCAGATGGACAACTTGTCTGATCCAGCAGGACTCTTTTGATGCTGTTATGAAACTGAACATCTTGTGTGGCTTTTGTGTTGGTCTTTTGGCAGGGGTATGGAGGTGACATTGAGAGAACCGCAATGGTCGCTCTTCTTGCCTTCTGCCAATCGCGTGGGACCTCACAGGGCTGAGCTTTGCTAGATATCAACAGAGGAGCCTTTGGAAGTTTTCACTTGCTAATAAGTCAGAATGTGCATTTTGCACTGAGATGCAACATGTGTCTGAGGATATCTGGTGCCACAACCTTGTCAACAGTGGGCTAGCTCCATCACAGAAGAAAGGCACAATATAAATGCAGTGGATAAATAGCAGGTGTGGCTTTTTCCCAAAAGAGTTGGAAGCATTGTCCGTGGCCCCTGAGATAATAATTTGGTGGAAATAAATATGAGTCCAGTGACAAATTGAAATAGGTGACAGTCAGTGTTCCCTCTAAGCTGAGTTAGTGTGAGCTAGCTCACAATTTTTTAGCCTCTGGCTCACACCTTTTTGTCTTCGCTCAGGAAGGGTGGTTCCAGAGCAAACTAATTTATGCAGGAGCCAAATCGCTCGCTCACAACTCTAATGCCAGTAGCTCACCAAGTAGGATTTTTGCTCACAAGACTCCGCAGCTTAGAGGGAGAATTGGTGACAGTTGCAGTTCTCTTTCAGTGTATCTGAAGAAGTGTGCTTGCACACAAAAGCTTATACCCAGAATAAAACTTTGTTGTCTTAAAGGTGCCACTGGACTCAGACTTTGGCCATGGACAGTTACACTAGATTAAAATCTCGTTAAGGGCTGCCAGATTTCTGCTTTGTTTTGCTGCAACAGACCAATAGAACTATCTCTATGGAATTATTATTTGATGAGAAAGACTAGCGTCATCCTTCAGCATCTAATGACTCTCTTCATTGATGGCAGCTGGCTGGAAAGGTGCTGGCGAGAAATCAAGCAATGGCCTTGTCAGGGTTTCTGTTCTCGGCCGATGGTACTTAATTTCTTACTAAAGTCACAGTAGGTTGATCATTCATCGCCTTATTTTCTTTTGATTTCCAGGATGCGTATAGTGGATGATGATGTGAGTTGGAAAAGCATTTATAATGTGCAAGAAAAGGAGGAGGAAGAAGAGGAAGATGGAGACCTGCCTGTGGTGAGTGTTTGGCTCTGGGCATTGAGCATTTAGGCTGCAAATCTAAGGATGGGACAGGGCGGTTCCGTGGGAATAAGCTTCATCGAATAACGTGAGCACATTTGAGCAATTGAAGCCGTTTTATACTGAATCAGACCCTTTGACAGTCACGGTCAGTGTTGTCAGACTGGCAATGGCTGTCAAGGGTCTCACACACAGGTCTTTCACATTGTCTATTGCCTGATTCTTTAAACTGGAGATACCAGGGATTGAACCTGGAACCATCTGCACATCAAGCAGATACTCTTATCACTGAGCCACTGTGTCCGCCCCTCCCCACAGGACTTACTTCCAAATAGCTCTGATTAGCACTGCTTCCTCAGTTACTCTATTTATTCAGAAGGAAGGCAACTCTGAATATAAGACCCCCCCAAAGTTATGCACTCCCCAATTTTTCTTTTACTGGACATGGCTGTAGTTTGTATGTGAATATAACACCCACCCCCACCCCCCGTGGCATTACTGAGAAGAAAACCAGCTCTTGCTTTGGAGTAAATACTATATACAACACTGTTGTTACTAAAAACTGTACCTAGGAATCTCATGTATGGGTTACTTTAGTGGGTTTCTATCTAATGGCTAGTTGTTGGGGTTTTTTGGATTTTGCAGTTTGGTAGTTCTCTCGAGCTTGCCCAAAAGTTTTTTCATACCCCATTACTTCTAGGTGGCAGAATTTATTGATGAGCGGCCAGAAGAAGTAAAGTGGATGGAGGAATTCCGTGGCAGTAAAAAGTGGAAGCTCTTGGGAGGTGAGCATTCTCTCGTTCTGTGCTTTATGAGATGCTTTGGTGGGCTTTGCACAGAGAAACACAGAAGCCAGGTAGCGTTTGGTTTCACGGAGAGGAATTCAGGATGTTTGGTTGTGTATCCGCTTAAGCAGGATTGGTTAGAGGGTGAATAGAGGTGTTTGGGAAAAAGCCATGGAAGGGTGATGCATAGATCGTACTGTGCGAATGAGAATGGGAAAAGGAAGAGCTGGGATTTCAGTCAAAGCGTTTAACTCTGTAGTATTCATTCCATGACTCACGCAGAGCCACATCTGCATTTATAGTCAAAAGAATGACAAGACTCCTGTATGCCCTATCTACCACTCCACCAAACCCTTCCATATAGCAATATAAAATATAACTATTAATATTAAATACATAGCAATAATTATTTAATTACCAGAGTATATCTGTGTGTGTAGGATTTTCTCTCCCAACCACTGTCAAAATTAGCCTTCAGATATCTGGAGAAGTGCTGGAGAAGACTCTTGAGAGTCCCTTGGACTGCAAGAAGATCAAATCAGTCAATCCTAAAAGAAATCAACACTGACTGTTCCCTGGAAGGCCAGATAATGAAACTGAAGCTCAAATACTTTGGCCACCAAATGAGAAGGGAGCACTCACTGGAGAAGACCCTGATGCTAGGAAAGATTGAAGGTCAAAGAAGACAGGGACGGCAAAGGATGAGATGATTAGACAGGGTCATAAATGTAACGAACATGAAGTTGAGCAAACTTCAGAGGACGGCGGAAGACCTGAAGGCCTGGCGTGATCTGGTCCACGGGTTCGTGAAGAGTCGGACTCAACTGTGCGACTTAACAACAACAACATATAATTGGAGTAAAAAAAAGAGTTTCCCCGTCTGCCTTCCTGCTCTCCCCTTGGCATGAAGCACAGCAGGTTGTGGGGGGAGAGTGAGATTGCCAGGGTGCCTGGAGGAGGGCCCGGGAGAAAGGGGAGCATACCTCCCCTCCACCCCCCCGGTGGCCATCTTGCTCCTTTTCTAGGTGTCTGTTATGGTGGCTTGAGTCTCTTCTCTGTGGCCAGCTTGCTCTCCTTGCGACAGTCACCTGAGTGCTGGAATGGGAGTGCAGAGGCTGTGAAGAAGGGTGGGGGGGATTATTGGAAAGGGCGGGCCCTCTACTTTCCATCACTGGCATGTGGCCCACAGAGGCTTCAGTTTATCCACCCTCTGTTTTCTCCAGCAGAAACTATTTCAGAATGGGAACCACAAGTACTACTGAGCAGTGGCCGTGGCCGTTTTCTGAAAGAAAAGGCAGGTGCCACATTAGGCAGCGGTGCTCAGAAGAGAGACTGAGTGTTGCTGGTTTAGCCTATCTAGAGATGATGGGGCTGGAAATCTTTTTAAGAAACCAAAAAAAATCTGTCTGAGTCCCAGTAATAAAAAGTATGCACTAATTATGCACAACTTCAAACATAATTCAACTAATTGAAAAGAAAGCAAGCAAATCCTTATTCATTCATTCATCTGGTGGGAGGTGGAGGCATGCTGAGGAGCCTTCATGGGAGTGGAGTTCAAAGAAGAAGAATCTTCAGAAAATCTACTGAACTGAAGTGGGAAAGGACTTTTATGCTCTCCTCTGTGCGATGGTGGCGGGGTCTTGTCTTGCTTATAAGTGCACCTGCCTCCTGATGGAGCAATGAGTTGAGATGGTTTAATTATGTCTTTTAGATCACAATGAAGAATCACAAAGCTCTGATCTTTCTGGAGCTGCAAAATCAAACAGGTGAGGGGGTTCGCTGGGTGGATCACAGCCCATTATTTAGCCCATATATTTGTGTGTGGGGAGGAGCAGAATTGTGTGTGCCTGTGTGCAAGGGAGTAAGCTTTCCTCTTGCCTGTAGGAGTAGTTCTTTAAAACAGCTTGAAGGGGGAAGGATGACCAGAGGCCTTTTCATGGAACACACTAGCTTTGTGAAATAGTAAAAAGTAAGACACAACGTTTGTTGTAGATGCCTTGAAAATAGACAGTTGGCAAATGTGCAGGTGACCCTCCAGCATGGTTAGAACTGCAGGACTTGGCATGGGATGTGGGAGGTGTGCCCTGCTAAAACAGCAATTGCTGTATGACCCCAAACGAAGCATTGGCATGCTGGCTGCATCGTCTGTAGCAGTGGGGGGAGAAACTGCTTGTGGCTCGTTGCAGAGACCGAAGTGGCAGCAACAGGAAGCTGAGAGGGACGTTGAGCAGTTGCTCTGGCCGGGACAGCATCTCCAAGGTCGCTTCAGATGTTTGCTGTATCTCAAGGCAAAGGCCAAAGGCACTTGGCAAACCCGTATCGGAACACTGGAAGAGCCCTGCTGGATCAGATCAGTGGTTCCTCTGGTCCAGCATTCTGTTTTGCACTTAGCCAACCAGCTGCCTCTGGAGGGCCAATGAACAGGTGCAGTGAGAGGCCAAGGTCTTCCATTGATGTTGCCTGCTGGCTGTGGCATCCAGAGTTTGCTGTCTCTGGAGGGAGGGGTTTAGTTCAGTCACCATGGTGAGTAGCCATTGTTGGGCCTATTCCTCTCCATGAATCTGTGTGATTCCCCTGTTAAAGCTATCTGTGCCAGCAGCCATCGCTGTCCACCAGCAGCAGTGAGTTTCTAATCCATAAGAGGACCATTCGTCTTATGCCATGATTGCTAAGTTTACTCAGAGGTCTTAGCCAAAAGCCTTCTGGAAGTCGAAGTATACACAGTGTCTCTTGTATCACCTTTTATCCACTTGCTTATTAACATGTTCACCAAACTCCAAGGTGAGGCGGGGACTTCCCTTTGCAGAAGCCATGCCGCTTTTCCCTCAGCAGACTTTATTCCTCGGTGTTTTTGATAGTTTGATAAAGAATATGGATAGCAGGATCTCCTGGTCCATGTCTGTGCATGCAGCAGCTCCTTTTTGTCTTTCAGTTCGGAAGCCGTAAAGCAAAAGCAAACAAAGCATTTGTCAGAATTGTCCCCACCCAGAAGGGGCCGCCACAACTTGCCAGATCCGCGTCATTCTGTGACGGGCAAGAGCCATCGCAGAACTGCAAGTGGAGGCCAAGAAGAACGCCTTCCAGATAAGCACTTAGCCCGTCAAAGGCAGCAGGTCACCTCTGATTTATCCCCACCCAGGAGGAAAAGACATGATTCTGATGCTGACTTGTCGCCTCCTCGGGAGCTGACGTCATCCCCCCCTGGGCTGAGAAAGCAAGGCAATGTCAGAGGCAAGTGGGCGAGTTGGAGGTGCCAGGCAGTGGCGTGTGAAGTATCCGTGTGCCTGGAAAAAGACACAGTTCCCTGTCTCCCTGGGTTCTAGTATTTGCCATCTTTCTCTTGGCAGGCTCTTCTCTGGCCTCTAAGAAGTCCCAGCGACATGATTCTGAATCTGAGTCGGATTCTGCTCCCGCAACGATGAGCACCAAGGCCTCCTCCGATTCAGACCTTTCCTTGCCACGGGCCGTTCGCCGCACGCGGCTGCAGGACTCTCGTGCTGATCTTTCTCCTCCCAGAAGGAACCGGTGTGCGTCTTCAGACTCCGATTTGTCTCCTCCCCGAAGAGGGCAAGATGTCGGACAGAAGGCCCGCAGGGCACAAAGTCCACCTGACCTCTCACCACCGCGGCGGGCCAGAGACTCCAAAGGAAGGGGCGACGGAGCGCAGGTAAGGATTCTGCTCTTTGGCACCCAACTGACTCTTCCTCCAGCTGATAGCCTGAAGCCGTTGGGGGGCATAGCCTGCGTCCTTGGGACGAGCGTCAATGACAAGGGGATCCCGTGCCTTAGGCATGGATGGAAGAGCCAGCCGATGTGGAATGGAGGAGGGGGGTGGCTCGTTTTTGGAAACAGCCCATGGCCGCCAGTCACTGACCCGACTGTTACGTTTGTTCTGGCTTGTGCGTAGGACCCTCAGATGCTGTCCGGTGGCAAAGCAGGCTTGGTGTTGGCTGACCTCCTGCGGAGGGAGCGGCAGGAGTTCCGGAAGCAGGAGAGGGGCAGCCAACATCTGGAAGGTGAGAGCGGGGTGGAGTGTGCCCAGGGTGTGGGTGAGGGAGGGCTGAGGCAGGCAGCGTCTCCTGCCCAAGACCATAGCTCTGGTCAGAGGTGGGTTTCAGTCCCGTCTTGATTGGGCTGTGTGCCATTCCTCCCAGGGGCAGAGATGTTCTGCCAGGCTTTTGGTTGAGGGCAGCAACAGTTACCCATTGGCTGGCACCCTCCGCTCCCCCCTGCACTGAAATTTTTATTAAGTTACATGTAAATGTTAATGTTTTGTATTTCATGACATTGTGTCTTGTACATCGCCCAGAGCCTGGCATAACCTGGGATTGAGCGATTAACAAATCTAATGATGATGGTGATGTTGATGATGATGATGATGATGATGATGAGACAGGGCTGGCGGTGGTTTCTGGGATGAGATGTTAGGCTGTCATGCTTATCAGGGCTGGGTTGTGCTCTGGACAGGCCCTCCTGCCAATGCCACAGAAAGGGGTAGGAACAAGTAGGTGCCAGGCTGGCATTCTCTCAGGGGTCTCTGAAAAAGTGGGCAGCTGGTAAAGTGCTCGGCAAGCCCTGGCTGGAGCTTTGTTTATTTCTGTCACTTACCCTCCGCCTTCCTCCCAGGGGCTCGAGGCAGGTTCCATATAGGGAGTCAATACGGTCAACAGAAGGGGACATTGCGTAACCCATTCACGAGGAATTTAGAAGTCTGGAGCCATCAGGAAGCATGGAAACATAGCCATAAGTATTCACGTGGCACATTAAGTGGTACAGAAATCCCATAAAGAGGCTCCTCCTTGCAATACGCTGTATGCAGCAGTATAGGCCACCATCTCAATTATTTATCCAAGTCAGTTTGTGAACCCTTCAGTACAGTCTAAACCTGTGACCTGCACAGAAAAGCTCTCTTGACTATTTCAGTCTTGCATGGTTTGCGGAAGGCCAGGAGAGTGGAGCCTTCTGGACCTCCTCGGGCAGGCGGGAGCCCCAGCAGAGAGGGCATGTGTACGGGCAGTTGATTTTGACCATTTGCGGGCTGGCACCTGCAGCAGCCCCTCCTGATCTAAGTGGAGGTGCTGTGGCAGAGAGGCAGTCCAGCAAATGAGAGGGGCCGAGGATGTGAAGGCCTCTGCACATGACAGCCAATTCCTTCAACTGAGCTCGGTAACGGGTGGGCAGTCAAAGGAGCGTCTGCAGAAGGGGAGTCAGAGGCACGGCTCCGTCCAGCTCCCGCTAAAAGTCAAGCCGTGGCGTTCTGAACGAGTCGGGGTTTCTGAGTTGGATTTGTGGAGAAGTTCAGTACGTGAAAGTAACACATAAATGTAGTGCCAGGTAAATTAACAGAATACTGACCCAGTTTCCGAAGCTGCCCTGTGACTCACGCCAGTTTGGTGTCGTGGTTAAGTGTGCGGACTCTGATCTGGGAGAACTGGGTTTGATTCCCCACTCCTCCACTTGTACCTGGCTGGATGACCTTGGGCAAGCCATAGTTCTGATAAGAGCCGTTCTTGAAAAAGAGCAGTTTCTGTCAGAGCTCTCTCAGCCCCGCCTACCTCACAGGGGGTGTCTGTTGTGGGGAGGGGAAGGGAAAGGAGTTAGTAAGCCGCTCTGAGACTCCCCTGGGTAGTGAAGGGCGGGGTATGAATCCAATCTCTTCTTCTTCTTCATAGTCCCCGGGTGCAGAGTGGCTGAAAACCCTCCAGCCCAGAGAGTCCAGCTTGCTGGCAGCAGGAAAGATTCTGCCGGGGACACGTACATTGACTTGATTCAGTGGAGTGGACTGAATTGGTCAACTTGATGGTGTGGCATTGTGGAGTGTGCTAATGTGGCCGGTGCGATTGTTTCCCACAGATGACTCGCAGCATGCAGCCACTGTCTTCCGGGATAAGTCCGGCCGCAAGAGGGACCTGAAGCAGGAGCGGCTGGAGCAGCAGAAGGCAGCGCAGCAGAAGTCCGAGCGGGACGCGCAGTATGCCAAGTGGGGCAAGGGGTGAGCTGCCCGGTCCCTGGCCTGTACTGCCCTCAGCTCTGCCCCCTGGGTGATAGTGGGGAGGGGGCCACAGCTGTGTGAACCCACCCCAACAGGTCGCTGCCTGGAGCTATGTTCTGGCTTGGGAGGCCTGCCTTCTCCAGGCAGCCAATAAGAATCCTCCAGCCCCGTGACCCTGTTGCCTTTTGCAGGCTCGCCCAGAGCAGGCAGCAGCAGCAGAACGTGGAGGACGCAGTGAAAGAGATGCAGAAGCCGCTGGCCCGGTACATCGATGACCAGGATTTGGACCAGATGTTGCGGGAACAGGAGCGAGAAGGAGACCCCATGGCCAACTTCATAAAGAAGAGGAAGAGCAAGGAGGCGAAAGATCAGAAAGGTTTGCATTTGGCCGGGGCTTACTGGGCTGGAGGGTGGAGACCAGCTGTGCTTGGGCACCATGGCTAGTGGGGGGGCGGGGGTGGGGTCAGCTGCCGTCGAGGGGTGGAGCGTTCTGTATAGAAGTACTGATCTGGAGAGATGCAAGCAATTTTGCTGCAACTGCTTGTACAGAACTTGAATTATAGTGTCTGCCCCTCTTTTGGTCGGGGTGGAAGAAAGGGCTCCACGAGAGCCGTGGGTTGGGGGCTCCTGCGAAGGGAACGGTGCAGAGTGCAAGCTCCCTGACCCCCCCCCTTCCCCGTCCCTCTCTGGGCTGCAGCTGACTTGCACATTCCATTCCCTTGTTCTCCTCTTCCTACGAGGGCTGGAGGCTTGGCTTCTCTAAAGGAGGCTGTATTCAAAGGTGCCTGTGCTGGAAAGGCCGTTTGGCCCCCAACTCAGCCGTCCTCCAATTCTTGACCGCTGTCTGGAGAAGCCGTATTCCACAGGGGTGGTTCCTCCTCCTCCTCCTCCTCAGTGCTTTCTCCATGAACTTAAATCTTATTAGTGCTAATTAATATTTATTTACTGCCTTGAGTCTGAGGAAGGCAGGCAGGATAGAAGCCTTTTAAATAAAGTATTTACATTATGTTAACTCATAAAACTGTAAGCCCCTTTAGGGGCCAGTTTCTGATGGAGAGTGCAGACTGTCGATGATGTTAGCTATAAATAATACAGACAATAAAAATACCTTGCACGTGGAGGTTGGTAGCGGGCTGTACTAGATTCTGCACTCATTCCTGGGCTGGCCTGTGTGGGGTGCGAGTGTTGACAGCTGATACAGAGAAAATGATGAGGCCTTTTGTTGTCACCTCCCCCCCAGAAAAGCCAAAGTACAGTGGACCAGCCCCACCTCTCAACCGATTTAACATCTGGCCCGGGCATCGCTGGGACGGAGTTGACAGGTAAGGCAGGCTTTCTGCTTGTGGTGTTTCTTTGTGGTTTATAGTCCACCTTTCTCAGTGAAACACAGGGATCACACAGTATATGCAGCAATATGATCAACAGGACGGGGCATCCAGTAACCACTGAAATAGTGTTTGGATTGCAGAAGTCTGGAACAAAGCAAAGGCGTTTAAACATGACCCGTTAAACGATGCAGAGGTTACGTAGAAGGGGAGCATCTTTTTACAGAAACAGACAGTACCAACGCTCCCTCTAAGCTGTGGAATCTTGTGAGCAGAAATTCTACTTTGTGAGCCACTGGCATTAAAGTTTGGAGTGAGCGATTTGGCTGCTGCATAAATTAGTTTGCTCCGGAGCTATCCTTCCTGAGCTAAGACAAAAATGTGTGAGCTGGAGGCTAAAAAACTGTAAGCTAGCTCACACTAACTCAGCTTAGAGGAAATGCCATACAGTACCCCGTAGTATGTGGTCCACAGTCTCTTTCCCATTGTCAAAGCATCTTTATGAACCATTTCATTGCAATACAGCCCTATTGCCTGTGTTTAAAAAAGCCTTCCTGAATAATTCAGTTTTGCTTAGTTTGCAGAAAGCCCCCCAGGCTTCTCTAATGGATGGTTCTGAATTCAGGTTGCGTCTTTCGTACACTAGATTGTTTCTCAAGGCTGACAAGACTTTTGTCAAGGCGTCTGTTTTCTCTTTCATCACTTGCTGTCTACAAGCCCCACAGCCATCTTTGCGTCCCTAGCGGGATCGTACAGATGTTGGAGATGTGCAGCTGCTGCCTCCCTTGAACAACTGTCTTGCCCTGGACCAGGCTGTGGAGTTCTAGAGGATGCTGGGTGTGCTCCTTGATGCCCATCGAGTTCCCTCAAAGGGCTCCCTCCCTCCCTCCCCCACCCCCTGCTCTCAGTGGTTTGGGCAGAGTTCCTCACAGACCCTTTTGCTGTTGTCTCCATTCCTGCAGGTCCAACGGCTTTGAGCAGAAGCGCTTTGCCAGAATTGCTAGTAAGAAGGCTGTGCAGGAGTTGGCGTATAAGTGGAGCGTGGAAGACATGTGAACGGCCACTCCGAGATAGGAGAGAGCCTCCTGCCGCCCTCTGCAATAGCTCCTAGCAACTGTGATTAAAGGCGTTCAGCTCACAGGACCCTCTCGGGTGCTCTTGGGTGGTGACGGAAGCCGCTCACTCTGGGCAGCCAGAGCAGAGTGAGGCTGTTGATGCTCCTGGAGTGGACACTGCGCAAGAAGGAAGAAGTGCGTGCGAGGGCTCTCCCGTGTGAGGAAGTCCCGGGGACAGCCACTGCCAACCCTGCCTGCTTCCCAGCAGGGCCCGTTCCTGTTGGGTCTGAGCTGTTCATTTCAGAGCCCCCGCGAGGGCAGCGGCCAGATGTCTGGCGTCTGCCAAAGCTCAGGCTCTTGTAAAGGTTTAGTTTGTTTGGGAGAAGAGCGGAGGCGGGACAGAGGAGGAGGACTCCTGTTCAGCAGCACTTCATCAGGGAAGCCTCGGGCTGGGCAGTCCGGACTGCGGGGCAGGCGGGGTGGTGGCTCTGTAGTGTGGCCTTGAGTTTCCTGCCTTGCAGAGCTGGGTTGGACTTGTGCAGCTTCGAGGCCAGAGCGGCCCTCCCTCGACCTGAGGGTGCCCAGGCAGATTGCTGAGCACAGTTGCAGTTTTCAGGGTGGCAATACATTCTTTCTAGCTGAGGCAGCTGGTTGGGAAATTAATAGGTAAAGGTGAAACTCTTAGA